TGATGCTCATGAAATATTTCGATCTTATTACTATAAATATAACATTCTCATACACAAATAAACTTGAAAATATGACATTTTATTAGATTTTCAAATTTCTTTGCAAAAAAAATGAAAATAGAAACAAATGAGACAAGAAAATTGTCATATTCGCTTTCTTGAGCTTTTTGCAAACAAATCATTCCTTCTTCTTAGGCGGAGGCTTCACGCACCCGCACCCTTCTTCTTCTTATTAACACTAGGTGCAAAGCATCAAATACCGGGTTTACACATAACAACGTCGGAAGAACATCTTAAATGGGATAACAAAGATGGAACTCGAATATGAAATAAAAAAGCCATCTTTCGACATCAACGAAGCCGCAAGAGCGGAGAGACAAGCTCAAGTTACCAAACCTCAACTCCACCGAACCATAGCATCGCAAGCACAAAACAAACAATCGGAACGAGATGGTGGGTTCCTTCATCGTCCGCAATCGCGTTGTTTTTGAAATAGACAAAACCGAATCAATTGCAAGGAAGAAAGGCCACCGATTCCTTGCTCCACGAACTAGATACCATTCACGAACACGATGAACGCCATTGCCGTGACGGAGGGACAATACGAAGAGGGAGCAGCGCGCTAGAAGAAGAAGAAGAAGAAGCGACGAAGAGGTCGGAGCTTCTCGATGTCGTCGCAAGCTTCAACGATACAACCACCGATCTCCTCCTCGCGGTCCTTCCTCGATCTCGACCACCGCTGGGTGAAGAGTGCATGAATGAAGGGTAGGGTTTCTAAAATTTGCTTTTATACGACGGATAGGAGAAATCCTATCCGACTTATCCTACCCCTCCTCGGATTTTTATGTTATATCCGTCCATATCCGAATTATAGGCCCATCTACCAAACTCGGGTTAGATAACTTATCGATTTTATACGGGACCAAATCTTAGCTGATTGGATAAGCTTCTCTTCTACCTTTCAGGTCATGGGGTCGATCCTCCTGTCCTTAACCCCTAAATTTGTTACACCAAGTTTAAGCTATAGTCAAATATCTGGTTAAACCAATAATGGGTCGATCAGTTTGACTGGTTTCTCTGGATTTGACTAGGGGTGAGCAACACGGACCGATCAAACCAAGAATCACCCGTACCGAACTTAACCGACCGGTTATGGGCGATTTTCGGGGGCATAGGTCTAGTTCCTGGTTTCATAAAATTGGAATTGGTGATTTTCGATTGGGTTCCCAGTTCTTGTCGGAACTAGACTGCCCGGACCACACCGATTATTTTTTAATTATTTATATTTATTTCTCACGCATTCTCTCATCTTTCCCTGTTTGCCTCTCACGAGTCAATTCACGCCATGATGTGATGAAAAAAGTGCTGAATATATTTATTTTTTATCAAATCCTCGTTCACATGTTCCATACTAATGTTTGTTGCCATGGAAATCTAGTGCCACTTTTCTTCCAATGCAGAACTCTCCCAGGAAGTTTACCAAGTAGAGGACGAAGCACGTATATAGGAATGCTAACCAAAGCGCAGATTCCATGGTAAAAAAGGGTCAATCACCATCGAAAAACTTTCATGTCGGCGCCGATGCATAATTAAGTCAAGTTTTACTTGATGAAAAATGACAACACTTGTTCCATTGGATTGCCTAGGAGCTGGACTGAACCGGCCGATCAGGTCCTGTCCTTGTTCCAAAAACTGAGAACTGGTCCTTCTAATCCAGTTCTCGATTCCTGGTTGATATTGGACCAGACCGGGAACTGATCACCCCTAGATTTGACTAGAATTTGTTTTACCATCTAAGATATTAACAAGATCGGATCATACAACGGTCTTTCCCAATCCAACATGTTAAACTAATCAGTCTGATCTAGTTTGAAAATACTGAATTTAACTACAGGTAGGTGGGAAGTATTAGCACTACTTTTAGAGGTGGCAAAATGATTTCAGAACATATGTTTTGACTTGTATATTACTGTATTTGATTGAATTTTGTCATTTAGATTTTGTTTATGAAATAGGTTAAAATGGGTCTAACAATAAGGCCCAATTAGAATATGATCTCAACGGATTAATTGCGGGCCCCACAACTTTCCAAATGAAAGGTGACGGGGATATTAGTTAATTACCTGCGTACTTATCTTGAAGAATATTTTTTTTCCTGCAATAGTAAATGTAATTAAATAAAGTTTGAAAGTACGTTTCTTCTTGCTTGTCCCCACATCACCACCTTCGTCGATGCAGACATTAGGGCGCGAATAATAACAATTCTATTTTCCTTTTTTTCTATATTTTTATTCTCATAAACATATTTGAAACAGAAATCTATTTAGTAAAATAATTTCATTTTTTTATTTCTGGAATAAATTTAAGCCTGGAAATAGATTTAAAACAGAAATGAGAAGTTAAAATTTTTTACTTTTCTATTTCTGTTTCAGAAATAGAAATTACAATTCTTTTTTATTGCTCACCCTTGTTGCCCATTGCCGCCCACTGCCGCCCACTCGCCGCTGGCCGCACGCCGTCCTCCGCCGCCGCTTGCCGGCCATCCACCACCACCGCTCGCCACCACCGCTTGCCGCCCGCCCGCTACTGCCACTTGTCGACCGCCCACTGTTGCCGCTTGCTAGCCATCCACCGCCGCCGCCACTTGTCGGCTGCCTGCCATTGCCTGTCGCCACCGCCGCTCGCCAGCCGTTCGCCATTACCGCTGCTCATCGGTCAACGGGAATAGAAATTTTGCGTCGTTATCAAACGAATTTCTATTCCGAGAACATAAATTTTGTATCGTTATCAAACACTACTTTTTCTCAGAAACTCGTTCGAGAAAGAGAAATAGATTTTTTAATTTCTAGCCAGAAATAGGGCTGGGGAAGAGAAATGTTGTCATTCGTGTCCTAAAATTACCATACAAGAAATTTTCAGTCGAGGTGTACCATTTTGTCCCTCTCTCTCTCCACCTCCATTTTGGTCTTCGTATTGATATATAGCTGTTCTTTATTCAAATGGTTGAAAAAATTATCATCAGCATGCACTCCTTAGATGTTTACAATGGAAAGTGTATATTGTTTCACTTGAATGAAATAACCCACAAATTGGACCCGCTAGTGTAAGACTAGAGTGAGATCTACAAAAATTATCATTGTAGGTTGTGATTGTCACTGGCGCCATCGCCATCGCCGTCTTTTGGTTTGTTTCCATCAAATTCCTCGTGTTTGGTACTGATTAGTTCATCTGGTTATTCAGCTTCTAATCGGAGAAAGAAATGATGGAATTTTTCACTAACAGAGAGAAAGAGATGGAGTTTCAAAGTGTTGACTATGCTAGAGTATTAAAAACGTCTTCATGGATATAAACTATTAGAGAATCGGTGGCTTTTGGGATATTATGATTCAACTTCGCTGCGTTCTGATTCCACTTCGTATTTTTCCTGTTCTTTTTTAACTTTTTGTGAGTGCTACCGAAGAATAAGTACAAAGGACCGGGTTGTAGGGGTTTTGAATGATAATGAATTCTTCTAATTTACTGTTGGCTCAACAATAAAATAAGTCGAATAAGAGATTTTTTCCATTTTGCTTCCGGTTGGTATCTGAAATGGATAAACATTATACAGTGTGCGGACTGGTGCGTCGTTGAACAGCTTGTCACCGAACCGCCGTGTTCTTCTCGCTCTCGTCAGGGTCGAATCCTTTCCGACAATTCATGCAGCAGATACCAAATTGCAAATAGGATTCTATGTCAAAATATTTCCTTATTTCTCGAACATGCTCAAAAAATATGTGCCTTAAATTTGTGTCTCTTTGTTTTTAAGATTATTATTTGTTTCCATGAACTTCCGCTCCATCCTCGCACACCTTTACGCTATGTTTTCTTTTTCACGTACAATCAAACGGCTCAGTAAAGTTTCAAATGCGAAAAATATTGTCCATCCTCGCGCGACTTTACTGAGGAACCAACCTTGAAGCGCTGTGGTTGGTTTCACTTTCTAGGAACTAACCTGTAGCTATGAATTTGGGTTTAGCCATCCGTCTTAAAAAATCGTACCGTGAATCGGGTGTTTTCACTTGGGAACAGCTCTTGAACTGAACGGTTTGATTCATTCAAGTCGGTTTTCAAGTTGAGCTGCTTTAGTAGCCTTCAGGAGAAACGTGTGCCTTCGAATGTGCAAGAAAAGGTAATCCATAGGAGTATCGTGGCCTGTTCATAACTTATTATACCATTTAGAAACAAATACCGGAAAGTGCATGATTATATGATTTAATGCTCCACTTTCATGTTTCTCATTTGGTTAGTCCAGTGTAAGTGAGATAAAGTTGATTCGACTCGAAAAATTTGCTCGACTTGCCTACTGTCCCACATCATTCGACAAACCCATCCTATTCTAATTTGATTGGATGAGAAGTCAGCTAGTATAAACTTGAATTGACTAGATCTCAAATTGATCAATCTTAGGATGGACATGGTTATTGCTAATTTAGACCAGATCCAAATTTGAAGATATTTGAACCTCAACGAGGTTGGGTTTAAGATGACTGATAAGGAAGAGACGTGATTCCAGATATAGTAATTTCAATCGTGTAATAAAACTTACATAGGAGGGAACCGAAAGAAAAAGGTTATAACATTTGAGTAAATGATAATTAGAGTTCGTATCTTAATTCCAAATAGATCTCGAGCTTAACGAACGAAAGCAATGACCCATTACATGAAGCTGCATCGACATGTACGTCGATCTTACACCCGGTCCTCCAAACGTAGCCTATATTTTCAATTTCGATTATTTTTATTTGCCAAAGCAAAGTTTAAAGAAAAGAAAAGAAATAATTTATGCAAAAAAAAAAAATTCCGTCGTTAGCATTCTCTGTTTTACTCATGAAATGTATCACACGGGGCCGTTGGACATGGAAGAGATCCTTCATGCGATGGAAACATCTTCAACTGCACAAATGGTGGTGCCTCATAGTTATCGGATTTTCTTTCCATATATGAATTCATTCCACTTCTATCTCATTAACTCATTCTTGTGACCATAATAAGCATTAAGAGTGAGCTTCATCATAGAACATTTTCCTGCCTTTTCTCTCGAAAATGGATGTTTTCTTTGAGCCCCAGGAAGGAAGTCCTTTCTACATTCAAATTGGTTTCCATGATACAGTCCTGGAGATCAAAGAGAAGATCGAAAAACATCAAGGAATATCCGTCTGTAGACACACTTTGGTTTTCAACGATGAGGCCCTTGACGACGAGCTTGATGTCGAGGGCTACAACATCCACGACCGCTCCTGCATTAGGCTCGTTGTCGCACCGGAGCAACCGCCATCCACTAAAATTGAATTACGCATAGGAACACCACCATCCAGAATGCGGCTCCCCACAGAAGTTAAAGTGAATGACCCTGTGAAACGCTTGAGGGAGGTTGTCCGGTCCCTGGAAGATGTCCCTCTTGAGCGAGTGAAGCTGTATGCAAATGGAACTGAACTTGAAGATGATCACCGGATATGCGACTACCAGCTTCAGGACAATTCCAGTGTTGACGTGCGCATCAAGCCTCTGAAGTTCACGGTGATGGTATTACCGTGGAAAGCCAACCTCAAAGTTGCGGTGGAAGTGGAACAGTGGGAAAAAATAAAGGTTCTGAGGAAAGAGCTCGAGAAGCTGCGGCCAAGCCTGAAGTTTGATCTTTCATCGGAGGGGTATTTTTTCATACATAACCAGAGTGGGATGGACGAAGATAGGTCGTTCAAATGGCACGGCGTCGAGATGGGCGATACTATTGAGGGGGACGATTTCACGATGAGACCTGGTTTTCGCATCCAATTAGCGGTTTCACTCGGAGATCTATGGCATGATGACAATGAAGTACTCAGTGCGTGTACGCAGGTATAGGTCTAGGGACAAATGCAATCCCCTTTTACCTTTTATGTTGGCGTTATCAGGTTTTCCAGTTTCCATTTTACTTTCTCCCTTTTCCGTCTTTGTCGTCATTATTACTCTCTTCTTATAGAAGTGTCAGTAGGAACACCATTTAATCTTGGCGCGTGATATTCTTATCTCATTTCAATTCCATCTGCGATGAAAAATGCGTGGTGAATGACATTCCGCAGGTTGAGTCATTAAGTTTGTGTTGAGAAATGGTGTAATCAAATAGTATTCAGAATCAGATTGCCTAGTTTGTACACACGTTGCCCCCTTAAGTACGTGCCCTGATTGACAATTTTTTCGGTCGATCTTTCACTAGTTCTCCTCGGCTTCTGAATCCTTTTGGTCAAATTCTGTCGAGAAAACCTCCCAATATATTTTAAAGATTGACAAAACCTTCCATAATTTCAATTGAGTCCGGCAAAAATGTTTTCAGGTGATGAAGAAACGCTATTCAGACTCTGGTTATCTGAATATTACGTCTGAAGTTCCGATTTTTTTACTTCATGGAAATCAATTATGGTATGGATATCATTAGACTAATATGAAGACATCACCAAAGCTTGGACAGGAATATGGTCAAATTTGACATCTTAAGACTCTATGCGAAGTTTATTTAGACTAAGACAATATCAGACTCGGATAATATTATCTGATCGAAAATTTTATAATTGCAACGGCTAATGATTTGACTTGCATTTCTTGCTTGGAGTACGATGATTGATCCACAATCTAAAAGATTGTTTTGAACTCTTTTATAGCAAAACATCTTTAATTGATCGATTATATTGCTCTAGACAAGATGCCATTGCCAAATGAAGAACTTTACTTATGGAAACCCAGCTTTGGTTATAGGGGCGACTAAATCAAAGGGAGATTCTAATATCATCACTCAACGGCTACTCAATCTCCTTAAGCATTCGTATCCATCGGGATGATAGGAGAATGATTCTCTGAAGAATGTCCAATTGCTCGATTGGAAGTGGCGGAGTATATATAAGGAGATTCTGGTGCTGAAAAGAACAGGTGATCATGTGAAATTCCAAAGTCTAAGAGAGCTTCAACTTTAAACACTTGTCTTTCATTGCTATGAAAGTGTAATCCGTAGAGGTGTAAAGTAAAAAGAGAGTTGTTATGAGATTGAGAGACGAGTTACTCCGAGATAGAGAGACCTATCAAGATTGAGTGTTATCACTCTTGTTTGTAACCTCTTATTGATTCACTAGTGAAATCCAACTAGTAGGCTGTCTGCGTGAAGAGTGGACGTAGGTTCGTAATAAGCAGAACCATAACTCTAGTGTGTAATTTTTTCTATCCCTTAACTATTGATCATTATCTTTGATAACATATTGCACATAAGTGATTCTGACTATATCCGAGTTTTACTTCAGATTCTATATTTACAAGATATTTATCTGGATCATTTTAATTCCTCTTTATTTTGTCAAGATCAATTACGATCACCTATTCATCCCCTCTCTAAGTGATAGTACTAAACACCTCAAATTCTTGCACCAGCCAAAGAAGCTTGAGTTGTAAAATTCACCAAGATGCAACATCTACTCTGTGATTATCTACCAAACTAGCAATCTAGCGGAAAAGCTCTAAAGCAAGCAAGATAGTTGCTATATCGGAAGTTATACCCTCCGTAAAATTGAACCCTCATGTCCCAGAAGGCACTTCTTTCTTGCAGAAGATGATCGATCCAATTTGAATTGATATGATCCTTAGAGATGAATGACCACGTTCCTTCCTTCCGCAAACAATCTGACCGATGCTACGACAACTCTATATACTCGTCCATGACCATTTATCCTAGAAAGCAAGCCATACCAAATCAAGTGGCCCGGGAATAAGTTTAAACAGAGATCCATCCAGATCGAAGGGAATAAGACATTTATTCTCAATCTTACTCGCAGCAAAATGCTGTAAGTACTGTGAAACTTTGTCACATAATCTTATTTACAAGATCCATCTTCGGCAAAGAAGTTTCTTGGATATTTCAAGGAAATCCAACGTGTATTCTGCAATAACTTTGGAATAACCTCTAGGTGAATCCATCCCTGGGATTATTATTACTAAACCAAAAACAGGATCTCTCTGAGAAATACATATGATGCAGCTGTTCAGTAGCAGTAGGATTACATTTAATGCATAGTGAGAGTTGCAAGTGATGCAACCAAATACATTGCCCAATTAACTAGCGCGAGATCCACATGAATCATACATAAGCAGCCATTTATTATCACAATCACTGGTAACTTGCAACTGATGCTATTAAATGCAGGATTAGTTCAGAAGCTTTTGCTTCTCTTGAGTGCATTAGGTGGCTTAGTAGGATAATCTCTCTCGATCCCTGCGTGAGATAGCAAAGCCCACAAGTGAGTTAGAAACTCGCCTCCTCTAGTCAAATGCTCTGCATGCGCTTTCGCATCGTTTGAAGGCGCCACATACAACACCAGTTCCACCCAAAAGTCGGCCAGAATCCTCCAAATCATGTCCTCGCGTTTTATATCATTCACAAGCTGATTCCCAAGCCGAGCACCACGGTTGATAACAGTTTTTTCACGTGCAGAACTTCCACGGCCCTTCCTCTCCATCTTCGTAACCCTGTCATCCAAGCTGTTGCATCCTTGAAAGAAGTCCCTGGCTTCAATGATTGCCTGATCAAACACATACTCCGTAACGTAAGGGTGATCAGGCAATAGCCGTGGAGCAAAAGCAACCAAGTAAGCCAGATACTTGGACAAGCTGGTTGCCACTAGGAAGCTACTCCTCGTTGCATCTGAGTCTGATCTTCCTACCGGCAGTTGGTACTCACAGAAGCTAGTGGCGATGTGCCACACCATTATGACCTGAGTCTGCGTCTCAAGCTGACACGCCCACAACAGCTGTCGGGACTCATTGTTCACTCTCAGTGAAGTTTGTCCATTCTCCAATTTAGTACCGTAATTCCACTTCAGAGCATCAAACACCTCTTGCTTCACTTTTTCAGGCAACGGGATCGGTTTGCTCTGTTTCTGGCCATCCCTATCTTGATCAATGTAGGTCGCCATAATCACATTGTTCAATAACCTGGAAGATTTATAGAAGTACGACTCGAGGATTGAGTACTGATGAAGCTTTCGCTCCCAAGGCTTCAGCAACCGGACCCGACATATCGCTCCGATCATCCTCTCGATCCACGCATTATTTTGCCATGACCTTTTCTGCACATACTTGCAGATCCACGTCACTTTAGCCCATACCGAGAAACCCATGAAGAAGAACTGTGTGAGCTCCACGACGATGAACGAGATTATCATCACGCTGGTCACGAGTACGTCAACACTCAACACATTTGGCACTGTGGCGAGTGGACAGTTACTGTTAGGTCTCTTGTAATGCGTCAAGAGTGATGTCGTAGCCCAGATGCCCATGACAACGTACATAAACTCCATTAATTTGATCAGCAACCAGCCAGGCTGGAATATGATACTGTACTTGGTGTAGAAAAAATCGTAAAGGAACATGAGCTCAACCTCAACGACTCGAAATGCTCGCTTGTAGCCGTCTTCTTTCGAGAGCAATCCACGGCGAATCAAGTTCCATGTCTTCTTGTGAGCCTCTCGGGGCAATGAGTAGCCAGCATATCTCAAACGGAGGAGTTTGTAGAGTGCAAAAGAGAGGCATATGTCTTTGAGCTTGTTCTGGGGGTCTCCTTCTGAGCTTAAGAGCCTCCCTTCACACCCCCACACCTGAGAAAAGAGTTGAGCTTAAGGAATGAAGGACGCTGAGATAAAGAACCCAAAAGTAATATGAATCAAAAGTAATGGAGAGTTGGCAGAATGTGACACTCTACCTTCGTTTGCGTCCTTATTCGTGCCTCAGTAATCCCAACCGATAGATTCATGTTAAAGAGGTTACTTTGGAAATCTATCACTCAACTTTAGACCCAAAAAAAAAAAAAATCTATCACTCAACTCATCGATAATAGAGACTCGATGAGATACTTTGCAAGGTAGAGGACCCTCGTAGAAGATAAATGTCTTTATCTTTATCTATCCCGTGGTATCGTGTCTTATCTTGATTTATCCTGTGGTATCATGTCATTAATAGTGCATAGTTTCATCATTTTTATTGTAGTTTTTCACAACCCATCGAGATGATTTTGTTTTTTTTTTTTTGGTGAGAAGAAGATCCTTACTAAATCGAAGTTAAGAAAAATCTAAAAGATCGAATAATTGAAGATGTACCTGTTCAACTGTGATCAACTCGCCCACGTCACTGACCATGTATAGTGAACCTTTTCACAACTAATCAAGATGATTTTGCACATTTTTTTTTATTTTTTTAGCGTGAGAAGAAATTCCTTATTAAATCAAAAGTCAGAGATAAAAATAATCAGACGATTGTAGGTATACCTTTTCAATGGTGATCAATTTTTTTTTATCCAATGTCATCCGGTAGTTCGGTGCCTGCGCGGCCTCATGCTTCCATACCCACCTGTAGATAGCACGAGCAATTTCATACACCCAATTCTCCTCTTCCCACGTCACCAAATAAGTATACCCTCTCATGCGAACCGGATGAACTCCATGTGGAACGCCCCCATTTTCGTGCTCCACGCTCATATAATCAGCAACCACTTTTGTATTCCTCTGCAATGAATGCAGGCTCGCCGCCATCAGGGCCCGGGCCCTCTCGTCGGACTTCACGACCAAGACGATGAAGAGGCACTCGGCCGTGACCACCGCTTCGGACCTGCTGTGGAAGTACAAACTCATCAACAAGACCAACCAAATCAATTTGATCACGCGCTGCCAATTGTAGTTCTTCCACTGCTCGTTGTCCTCGAGACTATATGCAGAGATAGAATCAGCGCTCCCGAGGGCGAGCATCAGGAACATTGCCCAGACGGGGAATAATTCGCTGCGCAACGGAGCATCTTGCATGAGGCCGAGAGCATAGGTGATTACGTAGGTTGAGAGAGTGTAGGCCGTGAAAATGATGAGCCGGAGGTTCTTGTTGTTGGAGCGACGTCGCCATGAGCCGCAGGTGACTAGGAACAGGAGCAAGAACGCAGTGAAGATGACTAGGAGCTCGATCTGCAAGAGCATCCCCATGGGAGTTTTCAGGGACTTCATGTTGCCCTTCATGACATTGCAGTTTTCGATCATCGCCGGCGCCATCGCCGTCTTTAGGTTCGTTTCCATCAAATTCCTCATGTTAGTTACTGATTGCTTCGCTGGTTATTCAGCTTCTAATTGGAGAAACAAATGGTAGAATTTCCGAGAGAGAGAGAGAGAGAGAGAGAGAGAGAGAGAGAGCGCGAGACAGAGAGAGAGAGAGAGAGATTCAAAGTTCTGATTATGCTAGAGTACTGAAAACATCTTCATGGACATGAACTGGGAGGTCCAAGGGAAAGGAGAGAAGGAAAACACAAAGAAATGAAAATATTGCGACGGATTGCAATGCCAACCAAGCCAAGCAACTAAGATAAAGTTTGGGACTAAATCTTAGTTCTTATAGAGTAGGAATGCCAGGGACTAAAATGAGAATGTCAATTTTTTTTTCTTTTAATAAAACGGAGCATCCGAATTTGTGTCGGACAATCTTCACTATTGCAAGAATTAAACTGGCCGATCCATGTGCATCAGGTAAAGTCTGATGACAGACGTCTCTCACGAGGTTACTACATTGAAAGATGCTACGACTTGAATGAATAATGTCCCGCGTCTAAATGTACTTTCTTTTTTGTGAAAGTCTAAATTTACTTTAAATAGCTAAAGTAGAAGTGTTATCCTCGTTAAGACTTGAAGAAATCATTGAACAGGTTGTGATGTGTTCGAACGAAATAAATGTTAATGATGAATTTAAGTAGAAACAAGTTTATTTTGGGAGCTCATTCCGAATCACACATTTTTCTAAAATGTTATTGAGTTGGCTCTTGGATTCAATTTACTGAGTTGAGAATATTACAATTAGCTAGTCTATGAGGATTTAAAGTGCTTCCATAGAAACAAAAGAGTAATAATATGAGCGATTCCTAAACTTTTATTTGATGTTAAATGAAATCTCTGAACTTTTTATTTCATCAACTTGACAAGCTTTCGCAATCTAGAGTCTTCTCATTCTCACAGCGAGCTTCAGTAGCCCGAAGTAACCCATTTCCCTAACATTTTAGAAAAGTAGGAATATTATTTGATTCTTTTCAATAACCAACAATTCTAAAGATTTATCAATATTTTGGTATGTTATTAGCATGTTAGAATGACTAATATTTTTTTCTGAGACTACCAACTTCTTTTTGAGTCTTCCGATTTAGCGACTATTTAGTGATTTACCAATATTGTATTGACTCAATTATACCAACATATTACACTTATCAAATTTGTTTTATGAAACCACTGGGGTTTGCCCCCACTAGCCACCCCTTTTACTTGGGAAGGGGGAGATGGGGAATTCGAATCCCCACATTCTCAGGGGGTTAGGGGTGTGGACGTGTAGTTTCAGATGTGGGTTTCAACTCTCACGCCCTGCAAGAGGCAAGTCAAAAATTTGAGAGTGAGTTGAGAGTTAGAGTAGAACAAACCAAAAAAAAATAGTTTTATGAAGATGATATGCTTGATTCACTAAGAATGATACTTACAAAATGAGGACACGGCAAAATAGATGAAAAAAGAGAAAAGCAAAAAACAGTAAAAGATGCAGCATAAAGCAAGGGCATATTAAAGAAGTTTTCTTTGCCAAGAAAAGAATATTTCTTTTTTAATTCGCTTTCACTTTGGTTTGTGTTGTCTCCAAGTACTTTTGGACACCTAAATTTTCTCTGATAAGTCTAAAAAGACCTTTGATATAACAATTCAAGATTTCAAGCCCAATTTCAAGATTTTGAGCTCAAATGGGTCAGTCAACGTCCAGACACAAATTTAGGGCTATGGATAACTTTTCACCATGAAGTCAAAGAGCACAATTAAAAGCCCATTACAACAATTGAAGAAATTGAGCTTAAATTGACAAGTTGGGACCAACGGGGTCGGGCAGGTCAACCTGATTGACCCAACCTAGTTTGGCCCAATGGGCGGAACATACGGTAATATCGAAGCTTATAAGGTAGTTTGAAGAAAAAGAGGACAATTGGAAAGTTTTGGGTCAACACGGTTTGATCAAGGTTGACCCAAGTCAACCAAGTCAACCAAATCAACCCAAAAGTCAACAAATTATAGCATCTAGACCACATAGCCGGCCCCTTCCATCCTTAATTACAAAAATTGTTTTTTTTTTTTTGATAACTGAGGTGTCCGCGCGGCCGGCGAGCTAGGGCTCAAACCAGCGGTGATGCCCGACTAATCCTCGAGAGGGGCTAGTGCAGCATCCCACCGCCACGACCCCCCACTTAAATCACCGATGGGCGAGTTTGAACCTAGGACCTCTCGTGAAAGGAACTGAACGCAAACCAACGCGGCCACCGATGGGTGGGTTAATTACAAAAATTGTTTATTCTCTCAATTACCAAAATTAAATTTCATGTCATCAATCCTTAAGAACATTAATCTTAACCATTCATTTCCCCTCTAGTGAAGACTTTAGGATATGCCATCTCATCTATCCGTGATCCATGTGACTTAATTTGATCCAATCATATCATATCTTACCCATTAAGAAAAGAACTTCAAACATAGGATCATAAAGTGAGTTTTAGGGCCATTTTAGTCCCAAATTTGATTTTTTTCCCTCCTAACCCCTAGGTCCGAATTTTGACTCTAATTCAACCATTTCTATAAAAAAATTTCAAATTAAGAAAAATCTTTGGAAAAGTACACAAAAAACTCTCAAAAACTCTCTCTCTCTCTCTCTCTCTCTCTCTCTCTCTCTCTCTCTCTCTCTCTCTCTCTCATGGCGGCATCTTCTTTCCGATGAGATTCTGGTCGGTTTTCGACTCAATTCCGATGACGACACACCAAATTCTTCTTACGACTAGCTTCCTCAGCTCATCCTTGACGTTGCCTTGATGGTTGTCGTTTCCAATTGGCATCAAAATTATCTCAATTCGGCCAATTCTCTTGACCACTCGTCAGTGATTCTAATTGAATGTATGAGATCTAGTCTTATAACAATTCCAAATGATTATCCAAGGATACTTAAGTTGATCATAGTGTAAAATTGAAGTGTTATTTTCAATCTATGATCAATCCTAAGTTAGGATATGATGGAATTCATAAGATTAGCATGAAAATTGTTTATAGACTTAGGATCATTTAGTTAAATCAAAAGTCGATTGCATGTTTAGATGACTCTAGAGCTTCAATTCCTTGCTAATGTGACCTCCTCAAGTTGAAATTGACATGATTCTAGTTGATTAATTAATGATTCAAGTCAGATCTTCCCTGTTTAGGTGTTTTTTATTCAATCATCCTTAGAAATTACACCTAATTCAAGCTAATTGAACTTGAATAGCATCAATTCCCTTGTTGCCTCTAGTTAGCCGAAATTCGTAAGTATGGGTTAAATTATGATTTGAATGTCAATTAGTCTAAAGTGGATGTACATTGCATGCGTATTGATTTGGGAGCAATTTTAGATAGTTTCATGATAATCCTTTGAATTTTATATATCATTTGTGTGATGGATATTAAAATTTAATGTTTGGATATTTGAAGATGTGCTTGAATGTTCATACGTCTTTATTGAAGGAGTTCTAGGCTTAGATGGATGCATAGGATCATGAGTGGAATGTTTGAGTGATTTCTGAAAATTCATATTTCTGACCTTTAAGTGTTCAACGATTATTACGGAGAAATCAGTTTAGAATTTGGAAAAATTATCTTTTGATGAATTATAGCTGAAATTCATAGCTTTTTTTTTTTTGTCGAAAAGGTGAATATTGTTGAAATTCAAGCGTTCTTAAACAAAAAGCCCATGGAAGTGGCATGTAAACATAGCAAGTCCTAGAGAGGGTTGGGGCTGGGCTATCCAGGATGGAGATAAAGTATTTCTGCGTTGAGCCCTTGGTTAGCACCTCTTCCACAATGGGCCAAAGAGATATTTGTAGATTGGGCCAGCCGGCTTCAGACATCCACAATAAGCACTCCTTCTTCCCACGACACATGAGCATCGATCTGCGAAGCTTCAATCAATATTGAACAATCTGACTCGATCATATGTTCTTCGCTTCATGACACAAAGTACTTTAGGGTTCAATCAAGGCAAGGGTTTCCACTTGAATCACCGAAGGTGCTGAAATTTTTTTGGCGAATCCATTCAACAGAGCTTTTAATGCATCTCGAAGAACCCCACAGATTGCTCCAACAAGGAAACACAATGTTGATTTTGAAGGAGTTACTCTTGGGAGGAAACCTTTCCAGGAAAGTGAGTATTTTCAGTTTCAAACTTTGATGGTTCCACTTGTTGAAATTGCTAATCATGATTTGCGTTGAAGCAATTAGGGATTCTAGGTTTGGGAGTTTGCGTCAAAATATATAGTCGTTCCTGGCTTTCCAAATGAACCAGAGAAGGGCTGCAATTATTTGAAAGGTAAGTGTGTTACCTGGCTGTATGTATAGATTTTGTAGCCATTCCTCAATTCATGTAAGGTTTTGACATGAGATTTAATATGTACCGGAGGAACGGTCTAGGTAGAGTTAGTCCAAGGGCAGAGCAAAAAGATTTCTTTCGTAGTTTCTGCTTCTCGTTTACAAAAGGGGCATTTTGGCTAAGGTAAAATCTTTCGCCTATAAATGTTCTTTCTGGTAGGGAGCGCATTTTAACACAAGCTCCATAGAAAAATTTAACTTTAAGGGGGCCACACTAATTTATCTTGTGTGGTGCGAGTCCTCAAAGTCAGCAAAAATTTCACCTAGCGTTTACTCATCAAAAAGCTTTCTCAGTGTTCGATCATCCCATCTCCCCTCCTCTTGTAAAATCAGGTCAGCAACTTTAGTTGGTTCACTAAAGTTAGCTTGCCCTTTAATAATACCTCCCTTGAGCCATCTATCCTCACGAATACCAATACTCCCTCCTCTACCAACTGGCCACTAACTGACCCTGAGATTGTTAATCTACCCATCAAGATGCTTTGCCATCCCCAAGAGGGGTGAGACCCCTTGTCAACTTGCTAGAAAGATTTGTCAGGAAAATGGATTCCTTTCAGAATCTGGCATCGTAAAAATAATTGGTTTCGAGATAATCTCCATATTTGTTTACCAAGCATGGCTTTATTAAATGATAGCATGTCTCTTGAACCCATTTAGCATTTATCTTTTCTGGTTTTAAGCACATCCCATCTTTTAAGACTAGTTCTTGATTCACTGT